TCATTTATTCTGAGAACATCATCAAGACATGCATACATCTGCATGCAACTAGCCCTCCTCCTTGCAGGAAAGATCAACAAAGACCTCTTCTGGTTAGATTTTTTTCTTCCAGTTAAAGACAGGCGAATCAAAGATCTCTTCTGGTTAGATTTATTTCTTCCAGTTAAAGACAGACGAATCAAAGACCTCTTCCGGTTAGATTTTGTTTCTTCCAGTTAAAGAAAGGCAAATCAAAGACCTCGTCTGGTTAGATTTATTTCTTCCAGACAAAGACAGACGAATCAAAGACCTCTTTTGGTTAGATTTATTTCTTCCAGTCAAAGACAGGTGAATCAAAGACCTCTTCTAGTTAGATTTTTTTCTTCCAGTTAAAGACAGGCGAATCAAAGACCTTTTCTGGTTATATTTATTTCTTCTAGTTAAAGACAGACGAATCAAAGACCTGTTCTGGTTATATTTATTTCTTCCAGTTAAAGACAGGCGAATCAAAGACCTCTTCTGGTTAGATTTATTTCTTCCAGTTAAAGACAGGCGAATCAAAGACCTCTTCTGGTTAGATTTATTTCTTCCAGTTAAAGACAGGTGAGTCAAAGACCTCTTCTGGTTATATTTATTTCTTCCACTTAAATATAGGCGAATCAAAGACCTCTTCTGGTTAGATTTATTTCTTCCAGTTAAAGACATGTGAATTAAATACCTCTTCTGGTTAGATTTATTTCTTCCAGTTAAAGACATGCGAAGCAAAGACCTTTTCTAGTTAGATTTATTTCTTCTAGTTAAAGACAGACGCATCAAAGACCTCTTCTGGTTAGATTTATTTCTTCCAGTTAAAGACAGACGCATCAAAGACCTCTTCTGGTTAGACTCATTTCTTCCAAATTAAAGACAGGCGAAACAAAGAACTTTTCTGTCACCATGGATGGCATCTGTAAGCCCATCTTCGACAACTCTCCATCATTCCTCCAAATGGCATCTGTAAGCCCATTACCAATTCAACACATCATCGAGTGCAGATTTCTGGGCACTTTAAGTGTTCAATCATCTTTCGCCTTCAAGTCACGAAAGGCAGATCTGCCAATCTCACTCTTCAGGTTCAAGAAGATTGAACAGGGGCAGTTGTTGTACCCCAAAATTTTCCCTCTCATCTCTCAATAATTTTCTCACAAGATTTCTATTAGGATAAGATTGCACAAGGTTTGATCAACTCAAGATACTTCCTCAACATTTATGACCCAATACTAGAGTTTGAATTTACATAAGTACAATTGATTTTTTAATGTCCCATGTAATTTTCATGTATCAATTGGATTTTCAAGCATCAAGTCAAAGAGGAAAGTATTGAAAGAGCAAAGTAGATCAATTTGAATTTTTTTTACAAAATTGAGTAAAAGCAAGCTTGCTTCGATTCATACTAGCTTCGACTAGGCATTACTTCGACTCATGCTAGCTTCAACTGAATTCCTTCCTTCATGCAAGCCTCGTTTGGGCATTTAGGTTCCTTGCATACATCCTTCGATTGCACCATTTGCATCCTATATGATTGCTTTGATTCACAAAGTAGGGACCTCCTTCATGAAAGCGTTGTCTGGGCATTTAGGTTCCCTGCATACATCCTTCAATTGCACCATTTTCATCCTATATGATTGCTTTGAATCACAAAGTAGGGACCTCCTGCATGCAAGCCTAGTTTGGGCATTTAGGTTCCTTGCATACATCCTTCGATTTCACCATTTAGACCTCCTGCATGCATCCTTCGTTTGGGCATGTGGCCTTCTTCGAATGCAAGTTTGGTTTATATCTTTCATTTGGGCATGTGGCCCCCTTTGATGCAAGCTTGGTTTACATTTTTCATTTGGGTTTGTGCCCTCCTTCAAATGCAAGTTTGGGTTACATCCTCTGTTTTGGCATGAAGTCTCCTTCGATGCAAGTTTAATCCTTAAGCTTCGCCTGGGCATGTTGCTCCCTTCGAAGCAACTTGCTTTGATCCATTTCAAAAAAAACCTTTGACACACAAGTGGAAAACATAATTTTTGAAGGAACACTGATCAAATCTGTAGGCCATGCTACATGATCTTACTTTGCAGGCCTCAATGCTTGTGTATCACTCCATAATTAATTATTTACACCATGAATTAAGCTATTATCCAGGTAATTAAGCTTTTTTCCAAAAGAATTTTTCCAAGAAGTAAAGTTGCAAGTACAAAATTTGTCTTAAGCCCATACCTTGGTTAAATCCTGATTATACTTCACCATAAGTCATGGAAATCAACCCCTTTTAACCAACAACTTTGATACTTCACCTTGGGATCATGGAAATTCTGACATAACTTAATATTCACGTTTCAACCAAGCCATATTTTGTTCAAACTCCCAAACCTTTTCTCTATAAATAGAGAAACCATTAACAAAGAAAGGGTCTAAATTTTTTGGCTGGTGGAAAGAATCTTCAAAAACTCTCAAACTCTCAAAAACTCTCAAACACTTAACACACTCTCAAACCCAGAATCAAGAAGAAACACCACACTTGTCTCTTCCCTTCGAATCCAGAAATAAGGGAAACACCAACCCAACACTTGGTTCCTTCTTTCGAGTCCAGCACTAGAAACATAACACTTGTTTCCTCCCTTCGAATCCAAGAACATCCAGGGCTGCAACTTAGGTCCAGCACACACATTCCAGCTTCAAGAAAGGTAAGTCACTCTGACCGTAAACCCTTCGTTTCAAGCATGTAAATAACATTTGTTCACTTTTATTTCTGTCCTTTCGATAGCATGCTTTTCTTGTCCAAATATATGTTAGAACTAACCTGTACATATTCAAATGAAAGAAAAAGTTTCCTGTGAATCGAAGCCTTAGGCTTCACCCCTACTGCTTCACAGTGGCAAACCAAACGAAAGGACATGGAGTGTGAATCGAATGGTGCACACTCATGTTGATTTCTAGGCCCAATCGAAAGAAGCAGCAAGAAGGGTGAATCAAAGAGTGCATGCTAACACTGACTTCCAGCCCCAATCGGAGGATGGAAAATGTGTGAAATCGAAAGGCATCTCCTTTGATCCAGGATGCTTTTTCTTTCTCCTTTTCTTACACTATTTTTTGTATTATATTTTTTTTATATATTTATATTTTCTTGCTATTCAATATGGTTGTAATAATTAGGACTTTATTTTCTTGCAATCCCCACTTGTACATTTGTATACCCCATCCCCCAAAAAACATGTAATAGCGTAGGACATTTATTTTCCCGCATTTTTATAAATGTTAGTAATTATAGTGTATGGCAAGATAAAACCAACTAGTAGACCGCCCTAATCAAAGGCGCTTTTCAAAAATACTTTCAAAAACCTTCACAAAGCACATTTTCAAACAAAGCAAGTAATTTAGCAAGCAACTAAGAGCCCATAGATAACTATGGATGAAAAGGGTGCTAACACCTTCCCTTTTCATAACCTACCCCCCGAACTCAAGAAATAATCTCGAAGGTCTTTCCTGTTCTTTTCACCATTTCCTTATTAGATAAAAGAAAAGTCGGTGGCAACTCTTGCTATTCGCAACAATTATGATCAAATGCAAAAACACCCAAGTCAGTTCTCCCACCGTATTACAAAGAGTAATTCAAGCTTTGGAGGGAGCGGCAAGGTGGTTGGTGGTTAATTTGGAATCACAGTCGGTTTAAAGTCAAGGTGGATGGTTGTTGTAATATGCCTTAAAACCTCAAGTGAAAAAAGAGAAAGAAAAGAGGCATATTTTGGTACTAACAATTTTGAGCTTGTTTATGGATCTGTTTATTAAGGGGTCATATGTTGGGCTCATTAATATTTTGTTAGTTATAAATATAGGTTTTCTCTCACTTGTTATGTGGGAGTTGCATAAGGTAGAAAATATGGTTTAGAAATCAAGGAAATTTTTTTAGAGTTTTCTAGAAGGGTTAGATAATACTTATTGATACCTTGGGAGAAGGGTCAAATAATACTTCTTGATACCTTAGGTTTGAGGGATTCATATATTGAGAATTGAAGAGGTTGGGAAACACTTGGATAGAAAATAAGGGTTTGTTCTTGGGAGCCTTCAGGATTTGTTCTTTGGAGCTCTGAAGGTGAAGGCCATTTTATTGTAACTCATGTGTAACCTCTTGTAACAACTTTCTTAGTATAGTGAATTGTAGAGTTGTTATCTCCCTCAGACGTAGATCATTTGATTGAACTAGATAAACAAACCTCTTATGTTCTTGCCTACTATTATTTTTATTAATTGAGAGGTTATTTGTTTTGCTGTCATTGTTCTTTGCCCCCATATATCAAAAGTGTTGATTGAAATTGAACCTTGTCATTATCACAACAATCTCCTTTGTAGCTTATGTGTCAGCTGAAGGATGCCAAGCATAAGTTAAGTGATGGAAGTGCTCAACTTCATTTGGTGTGAGCAATGATGATTTATCCTTGAGAAGCTAAATATACTTGCTCATTGCAGATGTTAGGGGTATTCCGAGATTTTTGAGGGAAATCCTAAAACACTTTTGAGCGTAGCTCAAACTCTTCTATAAAAGAACTCATTTTTCCCCCTTTTCATTTTCTTTACTCATTTTGTTTGCGCAACCTTATGCAAGCTTTTTCTATATTTCTTTTGTTCAAGCACCTTCCAAGTACTGATTCTTTTTCTCTTTTACTTTCGTAATAATAATGGTTAGTTATTTAAGAAAAAAGGTAATTTATTTGTGTCATAGATTGGCATAATGCTTTTGGTTTTGTGAGATCAAATCCTTTAGTAGTTCTAGTAGCGATTGGGATGGTGGTAGTGATTTATTTTTGTCTTTTGTATTCCTAGGAAACAAATAAATAATGGTTGCCCCCTTTGTAGTGTCTAAGGAGGTCAGATATATTGGGCCCTCTTGTAATATTGAGGAGAAGATAGTCTCCTTTCATAAGGAGGTCGATATCTCTTCTTTGAAATATGAGTAAATGGTTGTTTTGGAGGTTTATTCACCAACAAAGAGGGTTAACATGGCTATCTCCTCTGACTTATCTTCCCCTTACTTCTACGTATATCTCCCCTTCATTAAGGACATAAGGATTTGTCTTCTTTCCTCTTCTCTTGAAGCGAAAGTTATGAGAGTTCTTAATATTGCGCCTTCTCAGCTGGCACCCAACAGTTGCGGTTTTGTTATGGCATTTGAGATTGTATATCGGGGATTGGAAGTACCACCCATTGTAGGGATGTTTTTCTCATTTTAAGCTATTAAACCTTCCAAAAGGGGTTGGGTAACCTTAGGTGGCCTTTTAGGAAAGTCGTCTTCAAACCCTACTTGAATCATTATAAGAACTAGAGAGATAGATTTGAAAGAGTAAAAAAGTGAGAGGGGTCCCAAGTTGTTGTGAGGGTAGATGGCTCATCTCTCTTCCATTTGTCTTGGACGAATAATCTTGTGGCGATCGCTGGGTATGACTAAAAGTACCTTACGTCTAGATAGGCCAAGATGATTCTCCTCCGAGAGAAGTTTGACACCATGGAGACTCGTGTAGTGATTGAGAGGGGATGAGAGGGTGATGGCTCCCTCGAGGAATAACTAAATAAGGTTTGATATTTGACGCTTTTATAGGTATCCTTGAACAATATGTGACATTTATTTATTTTCTCACAGGTCATATAGCGAAGATTTCTTTAGATGAGTGGAAGAAAAGATGGGATTAAATCAAGGTTGTGCATGGATAAATCGATAGCCCACAAAGCCATCTTGATGGCATGATTGTCAAGGGGACCAAAAGGCATGCCAAAAATCCAAAATTCAGACTCACCAAGAGCCAAAGCCCATAAACATGAAGGAAATGCAGGGGAAGAGTTCTTATTCCTACTCTGAGAAGGTTGGCATCAAGAAGTATCCAAGTGGTAAGGCTATGTCTCTCAAGTCTTCTTTATGGAGTGACTTTTGTTTTGACATTGTTAAGTTCATCAACTCTCACCTCTTCTTCTCTGAAGAGTTTCCTTGTGACTGCAAGTCTCTCAACACCAAGCCATCTCCCAAACTATCTGACATGAAGGATAATCACTTGCTAAGGGGGTTGATGTTGAAACCGTTTGACATGGAGAAGCGATACCATGTCAAGAATGAGTTAAAGCAAAGCTCAAGTGTTATGAAGAGAGTTATGCTAAGATACATGGACTACTTGAGCCTTTGCAAAGGGAGAAGAAGTCCTGGGAAACTAAGCTGGCCAAGGTGAAGACCAGAGCCAATGAGTTTTCCTCCTTAGAGGAGACCTTGAATTTGTATTTATAAGTCATTGTTTGCTCACTGAAGGATTTGGAGGGCGGGGTGTCGGAGCTTAAGGATGACTTGGTGGAAAACTATGACACCTAGTTTAGGTGTGCGAAGGAATATGCATCCTTTTCTACCCTTCATAAGCCTGAGCATGTTGGATATATTCAAGGTTATCCATAATGGACATCTAGTGTATGAGGACACGACATCCCCTTTAGGGCACCAAGGATCTCACTCACCTACATGCTCTTAAGATGCCCCTAGCACTGACGCGGCGGGGGAAGGAGAGCTGAAGAGTCCTCACTCAAAAGAAGTACCTATGGGGGAGGTAACCTTGGAGGATGGTCAATAGGAGGATTTCTTGTTCCTATTTCTTTAGTCTTAGTCTCCTAAATAAAAAATAATAGCAATAAAACAAACAAACAACGATAAAGTGAGAGAATTTTTAGGGCCTTCCCACTAAGGCTTCATTCTTATATCTTCCTGCCCTTCAGAGGAGAAGCATTTTCATCTTTTGGAGCTTCTTCCCATGGTTGAATCTCTGGCACACGCCTATAGTTCGAACACTTTTCAATTTTAGACTCTTCACGTATAATTTCCTAGTAATTTCTTGGTCTCCTTGGATTACTCCAACTCGTCCGACAGAAAGCATGTATTTCATGCACAAATATAAAATAGGCAAGGTGGCGCCCAATTGATTAAAAGATATTCTCCAAAAGGTCATGTTATAAGGAAGAGAGTGTGTCTATAACTAGTACCTAACCTTGATCTGCTTGGCTTGATCTCTTACTCCGAAGGTGGTCTTGAGAATTATGTTGTCTTTCACTTGTACTTTCTCCCCTTAAAACCCAACCAACAAGACCCATTGAAAGCTTTTATATCATCTGAGTCGAGGCGATGTCTCTTAAATGCATCTTATTAAAGGGTATTTATGGAGCCTCCTTGATCTTCCAAGGCTCTTATAATTTCCAACTCAGAGAACCTCAAGATGATGACTATGGGGTCGTTATTATGAGAATGGACACTTTTTGAATCCTTCTTTAATAAAGTGATCTCGACCTCATGCGTCTTAGTGTTGACTTCATTGGGGGGGGGGGGGGAATTGTCTCTCCACCCCCAACTAATTCTCCTACAATAATATTGAGTGTGTGACATGTAGCTTTGTCACCCTCTTCTTTCGACGACTCTTTCACTTTATAAGTTTGGGGTTTTCAATAGCGTCATGCTCACGTGAGATGGCTCTTCCTGTCCCTTGAGAGGTTTTTCCTTTAACATATTTCTTAAGGTGCCTCCTAGATTATATGCTTTATCTCTTTCTTTAGCTGGAACCGGTCTTCTGTATGGTATCTTTTAACCTTGTGAAACTTACACCATCCTCCAGGCTCAGGTCCCATAACATCTGCTTTTAGATCCGGGGGAACTAGATTATCATGAAAATGGATAACATCCCTCCATATCTTCTTGTGGCGAGTGTTTAGGGCGTGGAGCTCTCAACGGCCTTTTCACCTCACTTAAATTTCGCTTTGTTCTGGATGGGTGAGGTATAATTATTCTTCCACGAGTGTTGTGACCTATAGGCGCTATGAACACACTCTTTCATATCATGGGAATTTTTCTCGGCATTACTTTCCCCGACCTTTATATAACATTATGCCCTTATAACCACCTCTGCTAACCTTTGAGAGAGGGACTTGTTGAAATGCTTTGCTTTGAGACCATTCTAAAATGCTCCTGCAAACATTTCTTGATTCAAGTGAATGATAGTTATGGTGGCTTCACTAAAACAAGTGATGTACTCCCCCAGGGACACTAAGGGGCATTGTCGAGTGTTAAAAAACGTGGTGGTGGACATTTTCTTTGTCGACTGAATGTGAACTAGTGCATGAGTTTCATCACCAGCTCTTTGTTGCTGGCAATGAAAGCTCAAGGTAGGTACATGTTCCATCATAAGTGTTGTACCCCAAAATTTTCCCTCTCTTTTTCAAGGATTCTCAAGGAGTTGATCAGACAAAATCATCTTCGAAGCGACGGGACCCCAAATTAGGGTTTTAACTTAGAATGACCAATCTTTGACTTTTGACCTAGTACATGACTTATTGGTTCAAAATATGATCTCAAGGATTCAAGTACATAATTTTGACCTAATTGCATATTTCAATTCATCCCCCGATTGATATATGAAATTTGGTGAACTGATGAAAAAGTCAATTGTACAGTGAAAAGTCAGACTTTAACTTTTTGGTCAAATTTGAGTTTCGAAAATCACATTTCATTAAGATATTCAAAATATGAAATTTGATCATGAAAAATCAAACTTGGCAAGACTTGTAAAATTTTTATAAGTATTTTCCTCATGACATATTTCTTCACTACAATTCAAAATAATTCAAGATGTTATAAATAATTCAAGTTATTACAAGACTGCGTTTTTTTAAGTTAGAATTTGTTAAGTTACAAATCCTAAAGCCTTGTCTTTTTTTAACTTTTCCCTTGACTAAATTCACAAAAACAGCCCTGCTATGTTGTCACAGTCTGCTCCAAAACCTGTAGTGCTGCCCTGAAAACCTGCATCATATTAATCCCATGTTTGCACCAAATTAGCATATAAAAGCTTCTCCTAAAAAGGCTATGAAACAGCATACCCAAAAAGTTCAAAAATTCATTTGTTTCCCTCCCAAACTTCAGCCAACTTCATCTACAAATAAACTATTTTCATAACACACAAAGGAGGGATTTGGAGAAAAAGAGAGGCTGGTTTTTAGAGAGAGAATAGAGAGTTTTGAATAATCAAACAGAACTTTTCTTGTAACTTCTGCTCATACCCATCTCTATTGTCATTTACAAAAACAGAACCTCAACCCATTATCCCATACTGCAAACACTCCCATAAACCAGTTAAACATTTCATATCACATTGAGATTGTTCAAGCACAAGAACAGTTTCTGTAGTGCCCTTATCTTCACCTTCTAAACAAAAGATAGTATTGTACAACTTGACAGTTTGGAGTTTAGTTCAGCAACTTTCAATACAAGAGGAGGTTCAACAGCTTTTTGGAGGTTCATTGAAGTCCACACAACATCTTGAAAAGTGTTAAGACTCAAAACATAAAGTGCAGTTTCAAGGTAAGTCTTCTTGACTTTGCATTTTCCATACATCATCTTTGGTTCATTTGTGAAGATAGAATATAATAATCACTGCCCTTTGAAGTTAACCATTTACTTGCTGTTCATTTTTATCAATTATATATTGAAAACTGATTGATACATGCAAAAGAATGATGATAGAGGCAAAAAACTACAGCATGAGTCGACACATACCACACGAGTCAACTCATTCTAGTGACAAAATAGGGTATGAGTCGACACCTGACCTTATGCATCGACTCATAGTGTTATCCAGGCCCCAAAATAGAAGGATGAAAGGTGCATGAGTCGACAAAAAACGCGTATGTGTCGATACAAATAGGTGCATGAGTCGACACATCCCATTATGCATCTACTCATACTGAGTTGATTTTGTTTTATATGAGCAAGAAGATTTATGTGTCGATGCATAGAAATATTGTGTTGACACATAATAGTTCAAAATGCAATTTTTATTTCTTTTTACACTGTCTTTACATTTTACACATATTTTCTTCATTATTGTCCAGTTATTCGATATGGTTGTAATAATTAGACATCTACTTCATCCCTATTTGTAAATTGTACCCCCACTCCCCTAATGGTGTAATAGCGTAGGATTTTAATTTCCGTAAATTTATCGCTTTTCATACAATTGTTAGTAATTAGGGTGTGTATGGTAAGATAAAATCGACCGTTAGAAAACCCTAATCTCAAAAGACAAAAAAATGCATGCAATGAAAACAAAATTCACACAAGCACCTCTAGGATAACCTTGCTTATTGCCTCGGAAAATAGTCATGTCCCTCGAATATGGGCGCTTTTGCAAAGACCCTCGATAAAAAAGATCGTAGTCCCTCGATGACCCTTCGATGTTGCCTTCGGTAAAATGATCTTAGTCCCTATGAAAATTGCTAAAGCGTCTCATAAGTTACCTTCTATGACTATACGATTGACCCGCGCTTGTCCCTTCACATCCAAAGATAGGGCTTCTTACCAATCAATGGTAAGATATCAACATCTAAAGGAGGAGGAAAAGAACAAAGACCTTTTGAGTAGGTAGGCGCTCATAGTTGCTTGCTCACAAACTAAAACCATCTCCACACTCACACTTTCAAAACATCTTCAAAAACAAACATCTCTTTGAACTATTTTCAAAACCAACACTTTGTATGCATTCTTATAGAGATGAGAATCATTACAAATTTTGCAGAAACAAAGGCGTTTTCAAAATATTTTCAAACTCACACCAATCACAAACACAGTTCAAACAAAGCATTTTCAAAGTGATCAAGCAACTAAGAGCCCGTAGATAACTGCGGATGAAAATGATGATAACACCTTCCCTTTTCATAACCTACCCACCAAACTCAAGAAAATATCTTAAAAGGTCTTTCCTGTTCTTTTCACCCTTTCCTTTATTAGATATGAGAAAATTCGGTGGCGACTCTTGCTATCCGCAACAATTGCGATAAAATGCAAAACACCTAAGTCAGTTCTCCCACCGTATTACAGTAAGGCTACATCCCTTAAAATGACATACAAAATCTTATATTTCAAAGAGTAAGGTGATCCGATAATGGTCATTTGTGTGTTGTTACATGCGACATGCTCGCAAGGGTTGTTACGTCCATTAAACTTCGCCAAATAGGGGAGGTTTGAAACCAGGGTGATATATATCCAGATTTGTTGAAATATGTTAAAAGTATAATTTTAGACCAGATAAAGGAGAATATTGTTTGTGCTATAACTGATCAGGTTAAACACCTTAGAAATACAACAACTAATTGATTTGAGTCTTCCCGTGCTTTATTGGGAAATAGTAAAGGTGATTTGTATAAATATTGAGACTTTGTGAACCAAATGATCCAAAATTAACATAAGGATATAAATACATCATTTAGTCGCATCATCACAATGTTGGAACACATATTCAAAAACAATAATCTCTACACTCAGTTGGTCGGTAACATATCACGAGCAGGACTGGATTTTATTCACGAAGCCAAACGAATTGGGAATGTAGGTTCTGATAGCTCAAAGTATGGTTCCACGGAAAAATGTATGGTCTCTTATGTGCTAGCCTAGTTTCAAAGAAGGTGATACATGATAGCTCAATACGAATGGATA